CTTGGAAAAAAACCAGACATGCAAAAACCCAGAAAAATAAGTCACAGAGAGCAACTGACCTAGATACTAAAGTGTCTGGGTCTGCAAACAGAATTTGAAAAAACCCCTGTGGTGATTATTGATTAATACTGCACAAACATCAACTAGTTGCCTCTGGGAGCCCTCATGACTTCGAGGGAGATAAATTATCTAATTACTGCAAGCTTAACAAACTACAACTGAACATGCTGCTTAAGTAAATAAACACTAATAGATTTAAAAATCAATGCATAAATAACTAAAAATACCTTTTAAGAACAGATAGAACTGAGCATTCAATACAATGAAGTGGCTAGGATCTCTGCAACAACCTTGTCAAGGAAGAGACAACTCTTCCAGTTTAACACCTTTTTGAAAAATTGGATAAATGGTGCTTTTTCATCCAAGTTACTCAATGTCTGTTGCTTCAGCCGAAAAGAGAAGGGAAGCTAGACTTGAAAACTGACCTCCTAATTACCATCATCCTCCCTCTGATGTGGATGGGGCTGGTACAGCACTACATGTTGACGTGGCTGGTACAGAACTTTTCATACATATGCAAGCAAACATAACAGATGGTTATAATTACCAGTGGGTGAGCTGCAGTCCTAATTTGAGAGTGAGCAAAAATAGGCTGTGTTGTCCCTCACCCTTCCTGGACACCACACCCAACTGTTGGACAACCTGGAGGTCACTCACCCCCCATCAGGGGAGGGTGACCAAGGGACCGCCACACTGCAGCCCAAGCAGAATGGGCATGGGGCACATCCTCCTCCTGAACAAGACAGGCACATGTCAAACCATCATCATCATCACCTCAAAGGGGAATGTGCCTACCTAGCATTTCTTAATTCAAAAGGAAAAAGCTAATCAGAAGTTTTTTGAAACTTGTTTATTTGCTCAAACATGCAAATGAGGGCAGATATGACACTGCAAGCCTCTGCAATGACCTGCACAATATATACTGCAGTTATTTCCAACCTGCCTCTCACCTCAGCAAAGCTGCTCTCTCATCCTCCGCTCTGCTCTTCCAAAATTTGCTCACCTGCATCAATAACCAACCACTGGCAGAGACAAGACAACTGCAACTCATCCCAGAGGCAGCCCAAACACCATAATTTGTGCCACTCACAGCACAATCCACGCCGTGTGGTTTATGGCATTCTCTCCAAGGCCGAGCCAGTCTGCTCCGCAGTGTGTACTTAACTAAAAGTAAACCAGAATCAACAGCTTGGGAACAATTTGCCTTTGAACATCGACCAGAGTGGCTGCCACAGCACTTGCCCCCTCCACACCACGTGCCCTGTGATGGCCTTGCTTCAGAGGTGACCAAATCCCCCAAGTTCTCCCTCTGTTTTCAAATGTGGGCACCCTCCATTTTTAGCACTAGTGTTTATCTTTCCATATTTTGCCACATACCAGTCTGGCACACAAGCTAATCTGAGCATCCAAAGATGAGCATTAAACCTTCTGTGCTGATGTTCACAGCTGGATCACCCACTGTTGTTCCCAACAGGAACAAAATGGGAGATGAAGCAGCAATGAAAGCCCGTGCACTGTATGATCACTTCCATCCTAAATTTTGTCCTTTCCTGGACAACAAACGTGGTGATAGTTCTGTGACAGCATGGAACCAAACTTTCAGATAAATGCAGTATTATCACAAAGCCTGAAAAAAATAGCAGACAGTACCAGCCTGCCTGGAAGAATAAAGAAAGGACTTGTATATCCTATGCTTCTCACAGGCCAAAAAGGGAAAGCACACACACTTTTATGGAAATTCACATAAAATGTGTCACAAGATGTTAACAGACTTGCCACTGATACAAAAAGATGATTGCACATAGACAAGAACAACATTTTTGTCATTCACCTTCTCGCAAACAGCACAGATTCAGCTGAGAGTCTCAATTCATTATGTTCAGAGCCAGGCAGCATTCACACTATGAACATAATTTGTAATCAAAGTCAATATTCTTCCCTCCCCAGGAGATATCAGGAAATACAGAAAATCCTCTGCTGACCCTTTATAAATGCAGTTCTTGGCAGCTGCAAATAAAGTCACTGACATGTTAGGCATCCATAGAAAATAACTTTGTAGTATGAATTAGGAAGTAGTGAAAAGTTTAGGAACATGGGTATGAGTACGTGTGACAAAAATGTTAATAAGTAACAGAAGATTAAACTGAGCTCAAACATCTGAAGATATTTATTTAAATGCTCATTGCTGGAGAAACAGCTCTTCAAATACAGAAAAAAAACACAAGTAAACAGCAGAAGATCTGCACAAATAATTGTCTTTCTGGTTAAAGTAACTGTTTAAATTTCCCTTTAATTGTTTCTTCTGTACTTTTGAAATCATATACACTACAATTTACATTACAATTAAGTATACTGCACTTGATTTGATTTTTATGTGTGTGTAAACAAGCAAGCCCCAAATCTTAAATCCCAACTAAGTGTATTTTTTGTTAACGTAAAAAGGTGCTTCCTGGTCTCAGTGCCACTGGGAAAACTAACAAAAAGCTGCCATGCTCAAGAACCACACTAATATATTTGTAATACTAATACTACAAGCATAGAACTCAAAAAATGACAGCTTACACCTTTGCCTACCTCTTCCCCCTACTCAGGATGTGGACAACGAAGTGCACAGAACCAAGGTAAAAAGGGATCTGTAAGCTAAAATCCAGAACACAGCAATTATCTGCTGGTTTTTATCCAGGCAGAGCAAGAAATCTTTCAATGGGATGATCAGCCCCTAAGCACAGAGTGGAGAGTGGTACACACCTTCCCAATTTATCCCTAATGCACTATGGGTAGATACAGCCAAGGTGATGAGGCAGATGCAAGAGACAATGTGTGAACTACAATGATGAAGCAGTTCCTGGTCAAAGGAGAAGGTAAATGTACAATCTGGAAAGTTTTTATTGCTCCTGGCATAAATTCCAATGTCTTTTACAGTCCTGTACTAAAACTAGTTTGGTCCCAAAGCAGAATGATCAAGCAAATTTGAATGATCTGCTGCAAAGTAACCTTCAACAAAGGTAAGTGTAATGCATCTCTAGTCTTTTATTTTTTTTTAAACATTAAACATTAAAATACAATTGAATTGCTCAATATAGTGAAGAAATTTTGGCTTAAAATGACAGACTTATTTTTGCAATGACAACACCCCGTTCTAAAACACATGCTCCTATATTTATGAACTTTCATGAAATTACTTAAGACACTCAATCAGCTTTTTGGGATGTTTTTGTTCCTGAAGCCTTTTCCAGCGAAAATACTCCTATTGCTGCAGTAGGAGTGGGGTACCAATGAGGTTGGAGAAAAGAAGATTCTTCTATAGTCAGGTCCTGGTTACACATACAGGGCAGCAGAGGGGCTTTCATATGCATTTCAAAACACAAGGTTTTTTTCCAACCACCTTTTCAAAAATTTTTCAGGGAGATTCAAAAGAGTAAGCAGTTAAATTGGAAGCACCGAAGGGACAATGCACAGTCAGTAGCAACTGCAGATCTGTCATCATTAAGAGCACACAAACCTGTTTGTCTAGAAACGTACACCGCACTAAATGCACCAAGGATCAGAACACCCAAAACTTGCCTTGACAAGCTAAGAAAGAAGCCAGGACATGTCTCTTCAGAACAAAGCTGTTCTATGCCTCATCAAAAAAATCACACTCATACCCTCATGGTTTTTTAAAAGGGGGCATATCCTCTATGTGAGTGCACATCATGAAATTTTTTTTTATCATTTTGATTCACACTGAGTACCATATGCTATTCTAACAATACTGATGGAAAACTAAACTTTTATCAAGTACATGCTTTTTCCTCACACATGCAGGATTGTTCATTTATGCTACTCATTTTTTATCTGCTGATTTTTCTTAAAGGTAAAACAGTTCATTTGTCTTGAGAAAAAAAAATACATAAAGACTTATGTAAAGAGAATTGCCTCAGTATTGAGGATTCCCCATGCTAGTCACTTTTAGGGTAATGTGCAAAAGAATATTATTTCATTGTGCCCTTTATTGCTTTTTATCAAATCTTATATGCAGGGAAAGTTTATTTCTTCACTTAGGTATGTTATTACTTAAAAATAAGAAGCCAAACTCAGCAGATGAAGCTTGAAATAAAGCATGTATATGGTCAAATCGAGGGCCCAGACATGTGATGAAACAAAAATTGTGTTCTGCAATTATTAGTTAAAAAGCCCAAACCAGAATGGCCAACCACTGAACCACTGAAAAGTGCAATTTTGCAACCTGCAGCAGCTGCTAATATTCCTTGTATCTTTCTCATATTTAGTGCAGTTCCAGACTCAGGAAAGATTTGTATCTAGTTAGTTCAAGATCAATGAAAATATTGAAGGACCAGGTAAATCTAATTATAAAAATCTTCATAACATAGTTAAGAAAAGGAATTCTGTGTGGAATAATTCCCAGTTTTGGAAACTGATAAACAGCTGTCTGTTCTCATAGACCCCAAACTCAAACTACCTTTATTTAACAGCAGAAATGCTCAGCTTGGCAATGGTATCCTTCTTTCATAACAACCTTTCTACTGCAGAACAAGAGGTGAAGCTGATCAGAATTGGATCTTGGCCTAACAGGATCTCTAATGGCAGTGACAGACTAAGTTCCACCCCATCCTCTCTGGTGACATACACAGCACAAGTTGTTGGGGCAGAGAGTCTAAAGGGGAAGAGGAAAACGAGAGTCCCTTACATAATCCTGTCACTGAAAGTGTAGAAGTGTATGTAGCATGCCAGTTTTTGAAGATTTCCAAGGAACTGTGTGCTCAGCCTGAGCCACCTTCTCCTACCATCACTGTGGGTGAGATGTCACCATATGAGGCATGCTTCAGCTCTATGTGGAAAGCATTAGGAGATAGCACAGAACAGCAAAACACAAACAGCACTTACAAATTAAAAAACATTCCCTCTGGGTATTTTTCTTAATTTTAGAAAAAACTTACATAGATTTTATCTTGCTGATATCGCTGGAATAAGTTGTGCATAATGGAGCCTTCATGGAGATCTACAAGTGCTGCCATGTCTTCCACGCTCTCTGTGCTGGTTTGATGCATAGGTGTTACTTTTTGGTGTGTGATCGTGCTCTGTTTATAAGTGAATACCTGAAAGAGGGGAAACGAAAACAGTATTAATTCAGAGCACACATTCAAAAAACTCCTGACTGAGAATGGAGCTTTCATATCCATTCATATCCCAGCTTATCAGTGTGCAGACTTCCAAAATATAACAGCCTGGCAGGGACACTTCCTCTAAAGCTTCTCTGACACAGATTGAAGCCCCAAATACCTACATCAGTCATAAGAAACTAGAACATACTGACAGTGCACTGAAGACTGTAAGGGCTTTTCCTGTTTAAGGGCAAATGTAATCTTGTTTCACACTGGACTACTGCTAGACTTTATCAAGAGAAAAATAAACCAAGCAATAACCATTCCCAAAAATATAAAACCAACCAAACAATAAACCACCTCTTACAGTAAAACCCACTTACACTCAAATTGCTCTGGGAAGAAATGTTTGACTGCATAAAACAGCAAATTAAAATTAATGCTCTAATAGGCTGCAAGTGTTCATATGCTTGATCTGAAATCCACTTAAATGTTTCATTCAACTCTCCAGTCAGGAAACAGTCATTACTCCTAATGCAAGTAGCATTCTAAGTTCTGTGAGCAGCAGATATTTAGAAATGAACAAGCCAACAGATTTCTTAATTGACTTTTGGGACTAGTTTCTGAAGCCAGTTCTTAACAAACAGTAAAAGCTCTAAAAAAGAATTTAAATACTGGTTGGAAAACACTTCTATATATCTTCTGTAAAACTATTCCAAATATGCAAGAAGATGTACACATCCTCAATATAGTTAAACTTTTATGAATACTAATAACATCAATAAAGACTACAAAACAATTGATTCTGAATCCAGCATCCCATTTCCTGCAAATTTACGCCTTGGCACCTTATCCTTACAGGCATATGCCCACATTCACAAAGCCAATGCTCCTCAGGCAATACTTGTCCCTGCTAATGGCACCATTTCAATGTTAAAAAGTCATAGCATGGAATTAATGCAAACGCTTTGTGGAAATACTAGTGTGGAACATTAGAAAAAAGCCCAAACCCTTCCAAAATCCTTTAAAATAATATTTATGAAGCCAACAGAAGCAGAGCCATAACTGTCAGCCAAGCACCAGCGAGCACTGCGGGAATGCTGCTGCGGGCTGGGGGTCATGCTGTGCCTGAGGGGCCACCTCTGCACAGGAGGAGCAAACCCCTCCGAGGTTTTCCACCATAAAACCTTGTGTATGTTCCTGGCAATGGAAGGCTGAACAAGTGACATTGTAGGAGGCCATCCAGACAAAGAGTGATGCTGTCTGTCCTGCTGAGCCAAGAGAGAGAGGCTGAAGAAGCAAGAGGCTGAAGGCAGATCAGGCTAAACACCGAGCTCTGTACTTGGATATCCTAACAGCTGACAGAGGAGTACAGCCTGAAGACATTTCTTCATTAAAATAGTATCCTACACATAACAAATGCTGGCACAGGCCATCACACCGTTACAGGTATCACTTGTACCAGCACAAAGCATACGGAAGAAAGGCTGAAGAAGAAAGGAGATCCGGGAAAGAAATTTCTGACAGGAGCTGGGAGGCAGCACAGACATCAACAGGGTATGTGAGCAAACCATCAGAAACCTGATGAAAACCAACAGGTTCAGAGCATCCTAGGTATAATCCCTGGCTGAGGGAAAAAGACAGACATGGAGAGATCAGAGACTTATTTTGCAGTGAAGAACCATGAAGATGACAGGACAAGGATTTGTATAGGGCAGAGAGATCCTGCCAAGATGGAGAAAGCAGCCACCTGTAGGAGCATGTGGTCCAGACAGAACATCGAATAGAGAGAACAAATGTGAAGAGCATCACCTGATAGCAAAACTTTTGGGGCTGAAAACTGTGTTAGTACTCCCAGGACTAACTACACAAACTGTCAGTGGAATTAGAGATAATTACATCTCAAAAGTTACAAACTGCAGTTCCTAGTCAGAAGAACCATAAAGGAAAACTCAAAGGCCATGCTGTAGAACAAAAACACCACAAGCTAAAGGATTTGGAAATAAAAGGAATATAAGGAGAGCAAATCCTACAAAAGTAAGCAACTTAACAGAGGCTACATATCATCCTGGATACAGAAAAACAGACTCAGTGAGAGAATTAGGAAACGAAAAGGGGATGACACATATCCTGTGAGTGCATCTCATGAACATGGAAAGGAAGCAAAATATCACTTCTAGGAGGATATTGTGATGTCTATCCTTTGATGAGGGATGCACACGTTAGTAGGGTAGGCAGAGCACCCTGTACATCACTCAGCATGTTTATTAATGTAAAGAATTTATGGACAAACACCAAGAAAAACAACATGACAAACGAGTTCCATGGGGTAGCACTACAGAAGATGGTCTCTGCAGATTCATCCTTCCCACTCAAACTCACTATTTTCTCTTCTTCAGTCTCGTTGTTCTAACACTTTCATCTCTGCCACACACTGCCTTCTTGTTTGGGTGAGGAAATTGTTCTGTGAGCTGATTCAGAGATAGGACTCTGCATCACTTAGCTAGAAAACACGTCAACTTCTAACAATAGCTGCCACCCAAATAAGAAACGAGGAGATGCTCTTCTTTAAAACTGGATAGCTACTTTTCCTTTATTTTTAATTTTTGCCAGAACCATGCACCCCTCGGATTTCTTAAACCCACTGTAAAACTTGATCAAAATCATCTAAGAAGATCGAACTCATGAGAGAGGGCTGCAGGGTCACATGTACAGACCACATCTCCTTAAAACAGGCTTTTTGCAGCCCTGCTGCTCAAGCTCTGAAAGTCCTGCTTTGTTTTATTTCATCTTGAATCACGCCTTTATTAGGATAAGGACGTGGAAAAACTACCTTGAACTTTATCATTACTAACTAGAAGACCACGTTATGAAATATTACAGCACTTCAAATCTTCAGGAAATAGGAACCCAGAGCCACTCTGCAGGGTCAGCACAAAGAACAGGAAGATGACCAAGTTGGCTCCTGAACTTCAAGAGGACCCTGTTGGCAGAGTGCAGGAACATCCATCCTCAAGGACCCTCCCAGTATTTCTGGAAGGTCAAGTGAAATATGCAGGAAACTAGAATAAGATTTAAGACAAGCCTAAATGAGAATTCAGCAAAAACGTTTTCCTTTCTAGATATAAAGGGTTCAAGATAACAAACATGCTGAATGCATGGAAAACTCTAAATAAAACCTTAAAGAGACAGCATGCAAAGTAAGAAATCTCAATGCTATTCTGGAAATGAAAATTAGAGGTTGAGATAGGATGGGCCAATGCAAAGAACAACAACAAAAAGAACAAGCTTAAGAAATATAAAACAAAACAGAAAATTCAGCCTAACAAAAGTGAAGTGCAGTTAACTGAGAAAGGGTCTCCTTTCAAAAAGGGTCTCCCTTCAAAAGTGCCCTGCTGTCCCTACCACAGCTTACTAGTGCTGTGATGAACATGCCAGAAAGGGATTCAAATGAAGAAGTGGCCTAAAAAGCCAGAGGACCAATGCTATAATGCACAATTAATCTGGCAAGTGGGGAAAAAAACGTCTTTCAAACTTTTCATTTAAGGGAAACACCACAAAACAAAATAAAATTTATTTTCTTCATTGAAAAAATACTCCTAAGTTCAAGATCTAATGGAAATTATGTTTAACAAAAGATGCAATTTGTAATGCAATTTATTAACTAGAGCAAAGTACGTCAAAGTAGGCTCTCAACAACAGGAGTACACATGCTTTGTCTCTTTTGGTACCATTTTGTGACACAATGCCAAATTTTAAAATCTCTGCTTGAATCAGATCTTTAAATGGCATGAAGAGATTTCCCAACAGCTGAGTCAGGTGAGTTAAGTGCTTATGTACATCAAAAAAAAAAAAAAACACAATCCCCACTTCTTGCAAAAGCTACAAGTCACAGGATTTCCAGTCTGCATGGAGCCCATACACAGCTGAATCTCTCAGTGTTTTTCATAAGGAGGCAAGGTTTTGGTCTGGTGCTGATGACCCATGTTGGATGGGAGGAAGGCAGAAGGTACCCCAAAAACTTCCTGATCAACAAGTCAGTATTTGAATTACAACCTTAATTGTTTTAATGAAATTTCTGTGAGATTTTTATTTAAAGGCAGAAGTAGGCTCATATGCATCTTGGAAGCCCTGACACGAGCTAGATCATTACTGAAACTGCTCTCTGAAAACGTGCAAGGTCACCTACTGAAGAGTTCACGTATTGCAAGCATTTTAAAACAAGCCCTTCTATACAGTGACCCATTACCCACCACGTGGGCAGCAACTGTGTCAGCTGGTCACCTGCCATAGTGACCACTGCCAATAATAACATGTGCTGAACGTGGTACTGCCTGCCTGATGCCAAGTACTGCCTGCCTGGGCATGGTTATGCAGCTTAACATGGCCCTGTTGTCAGTCTTGTTCTAATAAATTGAGAGGGTTTATCAGTAGGGATAACAGACATGGAGCAACCAACCTCCCTCGGCTGCTCTTTCCTGCACAAGAGTTTTTTTATCAACCCTAGGTATACTCTATAAACTGCAGGGCCTTTCAGAAGATAATCCTGATATCCAAACACATAAACCAGAAATATTAAAGTTTTGTCATACAGTCAATTTAAATTAAGTTGCTCAAATCCATATAACCAGAAGGATAATGTAAAATATGGTAAACATAAAATTTGGTAGGACAGGAAAAGTGAAAACAGAGTTACTGTACAAAAGTCATCTGAGGTTTACAAAGTAAAAAATACAAGCAAACAACCACAATTTTTTCAGTAACTCCTGTGACACTAGAAAATCAGCTGCTACAGCATCTGGGCAATCCACAAGCACCAGAAAGCAAAACTAATTGACCCAAAAAGTAAATCCCACAGCCTTCCTGTTGCTGTCCCATAGACGGCCCTATGCGAACTCTTCACAAGGTTAATCCCAATGGTTACTGTGATGTCCATGAAAATCCAGGTCTCAAGAGCAGCTCCAGAGGACTTGGCTCATACATTCACATCAGTGCCCTCTGTTTTCTGAGGCATCTTTTTGCCTATTATCACTGACCTCACAGCAGAGATGAGCACAGCCCAGCAAAACACACAGGACTGTACAGAGAAACATCCACTTAAAAATATTAATTCTTTTTTCATTCTCTGCTGTTGGTCTGAACTGAGGTTCATCATTTATGCTTCCCTCGTATTTAGAAGTTAAAAGAATGCAATAAATCTTACAAAATCTCTTTATAGATGAATCCAAG